TTTACTCTTCCGAGATTCCCCTAACATGCAAGCACAATTAGTTTAAATGGCATGTTCAACCTAAAAGGATAAATTAAACTCTAGAACTAAGCATACAAATATCATCCGAGAGCATGAATCAAAACATAATTATATAGAGTAGAGGGATTAGACCCTGGCAATGAGTTTAGCTACTCATCGAGTGGAGCTCAAACACCACAAAGTTCAGGTGTTGAAACTTCATCCTAATTACAGCAGAAAGAGAAGAAAGCAGAGAAAGAGTAAAGTCAGGGAGTGCGATAAAGTGCAGCCGACTTCGCAGAGTCAGCTTCTCACTTTCCCAAGAGACACTCCTGAGTCTACCTTCCAGAGTTATATCTGTTTCTTCCTAACTGAACTAAACTACCATAAATATTCTACTTCTAAGTGTTTCTGGTCTTTGATGCCTTCATCTTTAGCTGCTGCTGCCTTTTATAGAGATTAGGGGGAGAGATCTTGTTTAGCCATGTTGGTCTCCTCTTTATCCGATAGGTTTTATGCAAAAGAGAGGAGACCCATACTTCTCCCAACTTCTCCCTTACCTCTAATCATCGTTTGGAGAGATTTCGTTGAATAATTTAGCTTTAAGGCACATCATTCTTCTCCCAATGTCAACGGCATCACTTCACCAATGGCTCTTCTTTCTTAGCAATGAGGATTTACTCCAAATTGGCTCTCTTCCCGCCGGATTCTTCTTCTTCTTCAGCCCTTGCACTTCAGTCCTTGCAACTTCTTCCAATTTGGCATGTAACTTCACAATTCTATCATATTTTGACCACTTTTTTGCTCATATTTCATTTCAGCCCTTGGATTACCATAAGTCACCAAATTAGCCTATAAATATATAATCCTAACCTAATTGACCTATAATTAAAGTACAAAGAGGTAAAATTGATGCCTAAAAACAGTACAAAATGCACTCATCAACTCCCCCAAAGTTGAAGAGTTACTTGTTCTCAAGCAAACACAACAGACTGAAAATAGAAAATGCAGCAAAGAAAATAGTTAAGAAATTGTCTCAGGAACAGGTCTCATCATAGGCAGTTGCATACACTACAGTTCAAAACCACTCGAGTAAGTCAGAAACTCACTTCCCCAGTGCATGGATGACAGTCAAAGAACTAAGTGTTGATTTCTTTTTTTTTTTTTTTAAGTTAAGTTCATTTCAGCACAGTGGACATTCCTGGATCTATACCTATTTCCATCAAGTCTGCAGTTAGGGTATTCTAACTGGAATTCTAACTAAGGGCTTCCTCACTATTCTGCAAGCACATTGGTTGCATCTTTCACTCTCATACCCCTTTCCTTCTGTCCATATTGGCTTTTATTCTAGATCTCTCCCACTCAGGCCTTTACCAAACATATTTTTGGCATTCTAAGCATTTGTATTTTTCATCGCACTGGGCTTAAAGACACTCCTCTCTTTTGTTGCCATGGTTCACCTCTTAAAGATTTATAATGCCTTATTAGACATTCTGCCTATACTCCCTCAATTAACTAAACAGAAAACCTCTGTTTGATCCGCCAACTTCCCATTTTCTCAGGTATTTCAGGCTATTCCAAACTACTACGGGCTCAAATCGAGGCTAATATAATGCGTAGGGTTTGCCGTAATATCTATCCAGGTTTACAGTCCGCCCAGGTTAACAAAAAAAAAAAAGGAGCTCTAGTACAGATTACAACAATGCAAAAAAATTTTCAATTTTAAGCATTTTAAGTCCAGAGCAACACTTTGTCAAGTGACTTTGTGACGACAGTGAACCACTTAAAAACTGATTAATGTGCAAACAAAAGAAAAGAAACTGAACAGATTGTCACTTGGAAGAGAGAGAACAGACACTTGAAAAAGTGAGAAAGCAAAAGGGTCATCCACCTTCCTATCTATATGATCCAGTTTTGATTCATTTCAGTTCTTGTTACATACGATTTGTTGTTTGATCAGGCACATGTATTCTTTACCTTCCCCTTCGTTAACCAAATTACCTACCTCTCAGTGATAATTATTCATTATTCCAAACCATTAAGTTCTTAAGCCTCATTGATCACTTATGCCAATCAAGTAACTGTCATTGATGATTGAAACCAAAGGGTTGCAATAAGTGCTATCTCCTTTGCCATAGACTACTTTAAGCCATTCCAAAACTATGTTCACCCTCTCAGCATTCCATAATTATGCATGCATAATTAGCTAGTTGATCAGTCTAACTAAAAGGTTAATTAAAATATTTAAACCAAAAACAATGCCTCATATAAGAAAATGAATCAAAACCCTCACTTATAGATAGTAGGGATTAACTAACTACACCATTTTTTATCTGATTCTACACTTCCCAATTTGCTTATTTTCTAACTGCTATTGGCTGACTATTTATAGAGACTTGGAGAGGCTTGGATTGGTTGAGTTTCTGGTCTTCTTCTTTGCAGCAGATAGAGATGGCAACTTGCAGCAGTTTGGAGGTTTGTTTATTCAGCAACTTGTCCCAATTGCCAAGTTGCTGTCTTCTCTTTGGCTGCTCCTTCTTCTCTAACCACAATTTGCCACATTCCTCTCATCATTGCTTCTTCTTCTAGTCTTCTTCTCCAGCACCTCTTCACCAATTTCAGCCACAAATCTTCATTTCTTCTTTCTTTAATCATCAGAAGCATCAATAGCAGAGGTAGCAAGCAGCAACATTAGCATCATGCTTCCCTTCCATCATTATGTTTCTTCCTTTTCAGCCCCCATTAGGCCTCGAATCTTCTGCTCTTTTCTTCCTTGTCTTCTGGGATCACTTATAGCACCATTTTTCTCCTACTGCAGTAGCCATTCTTTCACTTCAGTTAGTAGCAACAATAGGTGGCAAGTAGCAGAGTTGCTGGTACCTTCTTCTATTCTCCCTCTTTCTCTTCTTTCACCTGCAGTATCAACAACTTGCAGTGATGATAATGCAATTTCTTCCTTTGGCAGCAAGATTTCAGCCCTTGTTTTTCCTGATTGATAGTAGCAACAGCAACTTGCCAGTAAGGGAGTTCTTCCGTTTGAAGTCATCTGGAATCAATCTTCCTTCACCAGCAATGATTTCTCCTCTTGATAAGCTCCAATCAATCTTTCCAGCCCTTGATTTTCAGCAGCTTCCAGTTTGGTCCTTTTTCATGCTATTTTGTGCAATTTGGCCCCAATTTATGATGATTTTCCACAATGGCTCTCTGATCACCCTGAAATGCAAAATCAATCCAAAAGTAAACTAATTTTACTTAATTTACGTATAATTCTAAGTAAAAATGAGTAAGAAATGCCTTCTAAAAGTGGTATAATTTAAGTGTTATCATGACGCAGTGTATATTTTTTTTATTATCATTGTTTTTCTCCCTCAAAATACAGTATTAATGATTAGTAAAAATTTTATAGTAACATATATCCCTCAAACTATATTATTTTCCGCTCGTGCTTAAGTTTGGGGTATATGGGTGCTATTGACCCGAACTAGAGGAAGATTTCGACGCTCTTCACTTTTCCATTCCTGCATGATGTACTTGTACACCTGGTCATTAGCTTGGTATTTATTGGGAGTGTAGGCATTCAACTGGAGCAACAATTTCCTTCTTGGAAAATTGGTAATTTAATTATGTTATCCAGAGTAGGATCTAGTATGATTTCTTTTATTTTCCTAAATGGTGGTACACATGCAAATGGCCAAGGAATTGTCTTTTGTTAAATTGGAACACGCCAAGCACAAACCATAATCAATTGGAGAATACAAGAAAACAAACTGCCACTGTTATATAAGTGGTTTGGATGTGTAATCATTGAAATTTTGGGGTTTATTCTACCACACATCGGTGCATTTGCTATTTTGGCACGTCCTATGCTGCTACCGTATGTTCAAAGAAAAACCAGATAAGAGAGATACCAGGTAGTTAGTATTCTGAGCTTCAGTGTCCTTGTTGCATTCTCTATTAGGACAGTGGTTTTGATTGACGGGGGATGACATAAACCTATAAATTATGAATGGTGCAAGAAAATTTGTCTTAGATGGACATCTGCTTGAAACTATTGAGATCGGTCTGAAAAGTGGAATAAAGACAAAGGTGTGATCAAATGTATGATAACTTTTTCTTAGAATTTGGACTTAGAAACGCCACTATTTAATCTTTTATTTATGGTTTGTAATGTGATTTCCTCATAATATTTCTTTTGTCTCGAAAATGACTAGTGTTGTCTTGTCGCACATTGTGAGACGGAGGCCCTGTACTTTATTTATTTAATAATATTTATTATACTATAAGAAAGTACTTTTTTTTTTCATTTAAAAAAATACAAACTTTGTACAAACTTTGTACAATCTTTGTACATTGTGAGGGTAGTATTTTGTTGTAATGTTCTTCATTTGTTATTATCATTGTTGTGTTTTTGCTCTACATAGTATGGTTTTAAAATGTTTATAGTGTTCACAAGTCTGTTTACTAAATTTATAATTTTGAAATTTAAATTGGATGGTTTGTGATACATACTTCATGGGCGATACATCCAATACTGTACATGAAGGTAAAAGATTTTAATTTGTTTTTTTTTTTAAAAAAAAATCTAAGTATTTATTTTTTCTAAGGATGTTCATATGATTGCTCCTAAAAAAGTAATAAGAGAATGTCATTCAGTAACAATTTGTCCAAAAAATTTGTGCAAATCAGTTCCAAAATTTAGTCCCAAACAATCTCAATTACTTTACTTTCACCCCGGGATTGAACAACTAATTTTTGAAAGTAAATTTTGGAACAACTAATTCGCACACAACAACTAATTTTTGAGCTCCGTACCATGTAGTGGATTGTAGTTCTTTAAGGGGCTGATGCATGCAATTCATCATCCAACCTGAGACAATCAAGCTATTGTTAAATTCAGTTATGCAATGAGTTGAGAGCTTCTCAAACTCTCTGAGCATTTCGTCAAGATCCTCATGCTGAGTTTGTTTGAGTGCAGTGTAGTCTTCACTTAAGAGGTATCCCTATTTATAGAGTGAATCAGTGTACACATCAAGCTCCAATTGAGCTTCCTCCAGCCTTTGCTTTGCAAACTCATCATTCCTCTGGGCATTGCACACAGCTTGCCACTGATCCATGAACTGTTCACTCGCATCAAGCCAATTAAGAAACTTTTTTCTTATCCGATATAGGCTATCATCAACTGATCTCCAATCTTCCCTTAACTTTACTAGATCCAGTGGCTCGTTAAGGGAAAGTATGAAAGAATTCACTTCTTTAAGGAGCTCGTCGAGCTCAACTTTCTCACAAAACTCCTTTACCTCCGTTGTTTTCTAAAGGAGCTCATCCCTATAAACAATAGGTGTCAACATAACCTTAGATACAACCTCAATTTTCTTTGAGAGTCCTTGGAGAAACGCGTCCAACAGCACACGCTCCATCTTGTCGTACCCCAACTTACGAAGAGATTGGAGAGTTCCAAATGCCTCCATATCCATATCTTCTTCAGTTTCTTTCAAAACTACTAAAATGAAGATGGAAGAAGATGAGCAAAGAGAGAGAAGAGAAGACGAAGAGATGGAAAAGAAAAAAGAAGAGGGAAAAAAATTGGGGAATTCTGTTCCGAGAGCGAATATGAAATAAAGAGTTTGTCTTAATGGAAAAGAAAAAAGGATTGGTTAAAAATTTCAAATATGGAATAAAGAGACTGTGTTAATGGAAATGCCTTCTTTGTTGTGCCATAAAAAAGTTTAAATTTTTTTGTATGTGTTAAAAAATTTCTTTCAAGAATCACAAAATGATGTGTTATTTTTTAAAAAAGTAGCCGGAATAGGACTAGTTACTGAAGAAGATTGAGGAAGATGTTCACAAAATTCTTTCACCATGGTTGATGCAGTATAGTATTTGCATGGCCAAATCATTATTTCTTATTACTTTAATTAAGTTGCTTCTATTTGATTGAATTTGTTTTTAAAGTTGTCAAAAAATTAGCTTTTGTAAAATATGAAGTGAAAATGCCACATGGCGACTAGTGATGAGTTCTCTTAAGTTTGGTTTTCGTTTATAATATAGTAAGATATCCCCATTTGGCTTAACATGATAATCCTAAAAGGACTAGAGTTGAAGATTGTTATCATCACAAGATCGGAGTTTAACGTGTCAGTAACAATTGTTATTTTCATTTATCCAAATGTATATTGATATATAAATGGTTTACAATGAAAAGTGAAGAAAATCATGTAACTTCTCATTGGGGTTCTATTTGGATAAAAGATAAGAAACTATTATTTTTTTTGAGGATCCGAATGTTTATCTTTTGCAAAAGAGAATTGATTTTACTTTGAGAGATTAGCCTTCTCACGGTGAAAACTTCAACTATCTCTTCAAAAAATAGTTTTGGTTCACTTAATTATCAAATATATAAAGATAACATTGTCTTTGGACTCCACGACAACTTGTTAACATTTACTTAGAATTGAATCTGAACCACAAGCTTTCTATCGTATGTGCTTATTCACAGATCTTGAAAATTGCGAGTTTGGAGAAAGGCAATTTCTATGTCTCTTACGGTATTTTACAAGAATCACTGCTTAGAATGATCAAGGAGAATGACATTACTGTAAGTTTCATCTACGGTAACTTTTTAACATTTACTTGGGGTTTGATCCAACCCACAAGCATTCTATCCGTGGTGCTTATTCACATATCCTAAACCTTCCCTTTGTCTATGGGGGTTATTCATAGTCAACGGTGGCTTTAGTAAGGCCACCATTTAGGAGTCTCTTGTCTATTAGTTTTATAAATGTATTCTCTTTGTCTAGAGGGGTTATTTATTAGTCAAATTTGTGATTATCTAATCATTATATTCATACTAGTGTGTGAAAATGGCTGGAGATCCATTGATAACTTTCTAGGTTATTCTGTTTTGACCAGGCTGTTTACTTTTAGATTTACTTTGTTTGTATCCCCCTCTCCCTACAACGGTGTACTGATAATAGCAGACTACGATATTGATCTATATATATAAACTTGTCTTTGGATTTTATTATTTAAGTCATGATTCAAGTGAGATTGATGCTAGAGATTTGTTCATGAAAAGAAATAAGTGGCAAACATTAAAGACGCAGTCTCGAATATGTAAGTACATTTATTATTTAGATTTGTTTTTTGAGTCTAGATCTATATGAGAGTCTACTATGGGTAAAATAGCTAGAGATTTGCACGTACATTTATGTGAGAGTCTTTTTTTTTTTTAAATCAAAGAGGACAAGGACAGCTTTCAGGTTCTGATTAACTTAAAAAAACTCAAGGAATATACCCAAGAGGTATGTTTTAAACCAACCATAGCTGGATAGTATAATGCACCCAAGGGGTATACCCAAGGGATGAACATACATACTATCAAGTTCCCTATTTCTATCCCTTCCTGTTTTATTATCATTAAAATAACAAAAGCAAATGGCAGAGTATAAGTCATACCATATTACATCACCTAGACTTTAAGCGAACATAAGGAAAGGAAAGCTAGTCTATAACCAACAAACCTTGTACATATCTAGGTAAAAAAGCTAAAACATGAAACATCTCTGACATACCAGAAGATGCAATCATAGCTAATATATCTGCCACAGCATTGGCTTCCCTATATATATGGGATACCCGGTAACCATTTCTCTGAATAATTGAAGACATTTCTTGTAACAACAGAAAATGCTTCCAAGGAAAGCCTGAATGACTCTTCAAAATCTCAGCTTAACCCTTATTATCCGTCTGCAAGCACACATTTTGAAGATGTAACATATCACATTTGCACAAGCCAAATTGTGCTCCAGCAACTTCCGCCATAAAGCTATCTCCTCCTCCCAAATATCCACTTTCACCATGAAGAAAAACACCCCCTTCTCCCCTTATTACATAACCATATCCGGCTTCATTCAAAACCGATGAACCATCACAATTCAAAATATAAGAATCAGGCTTGGTGGAGTCCGTCTAACCTCCTTCAAAGCTGGCTGTATCTTAGCACTCAAAACAATTCCAAAGTGCACCTCAAAAAAATCTTTCTCCAATGCATTTATAACCTTCAAATAATGAATTTCCAGTAAGAGACCAACCTGATTCCCAATGATATAGATAAGCTGCTCCACCTCCATTTTCTTCCCCTCAAAGTATGCTTTATTCCGAGCCTTCCAAGTTTCCCATATAATGATCATAAGCAGCAACATGTGCAAAACAACAAAAGCCGAGTTAGCATTAGCTCGTTTCCACCACCTTTGCAAGTGTGAGACAAAAGTAGATGCATTTGGCAGCTTGATGTGCACCAAGCTCGCAAAATGCACCCAAACAGCTAGAACCTTCTTGCATCCGAAGAATATATGCTCAAAGTCCTCCCTCTGGCCATAACAAAACAAGCAAACTGAAGGAAGGGTTTGAATACCCATTTGGCCTAAAATCTCTGGAAAAGAAAAAAAAGAGATTCACAAAGGAACCTGTTTAAACCACACATATTTCGTCCATTCCTCCTTAGGGCTCCTCCGCATCACTTTCATATGCCGTTTTAACTGAAAAAAGACCCATTGGGATTGTGAGAGTCTAGATCTATATGCTAGAGATTTGTAAGTACATTTATTATTTAGATTTATTATTTGAGTCTACTATAGTTAAAATAGCCATATTGGCTAAGAATCCCTAGTAAAAGTCCTTAGAGGTCTTTTTTTGTCATTATATCTTTCTTAATGAGATAAGTCATATTTTCTTCTATGTAAGATAAAATTAAGAGTTTAAGTCAAAAAAAATTTTTGCTTTCCCTTCCTGCTTGTGGGAATAGAAAAGAATTTTTCAAGAATATTATTAGAAGATTCTTTCTTTAAGTTAGGGTTAACTCTTTAGCGAACAAGCAACATTTTCTTGAAGTAGAGGATGTCAAAATCGTGTCAAGGAGTTGAATATGGTCTTTTCATGAATTTTATTTCATCTATATGATGTTTCAAATGGAAGAGTTTATTGTTGAAGTTCATTATCGAGTGCATTTTCTTTTTCTTCAATATGTCTATGATCTTGTAAGCCATTTTTTACCATATACTACTAAGTATACTTTCATGAAAACTCCACTTATAAAATCATAGATCATAAATTCAAATAACCTAGACCTACATACACGCACACATTGCTCATGTATACACAATCTCTCTTAAAAAGGAAAGCTATGCACTGTCGCTTTTGGCATCAAACCCTAATTCGATAAACATAGTACACATAAGTTTCCAATTACTTGATCTTGAAGAAACTAATCTCCAATCTCAAATGCATAGGAAATCTCGAGTGAAGCCCTCCTTGAATTAATTGTTTGCACAACTTCATCAAGACTCACTAATTCCTCGAAATCAAACACTCAAAAAAATTCATCTTAAAGCAATACCTAGCTTTTGCACCAAATATTCAATAAAGAGGAACTTATGAAATTGTAATTTAAATCTAGTTTGATTTACTTTTCTCAAAACTCTTTTGAAAACAAAAGAACTTTGGTCCAAATAAAAGATAGTCCCACCAATAATGGTACTTGGCTAGGGTTCCAAACCATATTCTCTTTGAGAATCGGATATCACATGGATTAACCACTAACTATGAATCCCAACGGAATCAACTAAAGCTCTGATACCAAAAAATGATATGTAAATATCAGTTTGCTACCATCGCTCTTAACAAGCTCTGATACCAAAAACTGATAACAATCTTGAAGACGAACCAAAATTTCGTTAATGGAACCGTCATCGAGAAATTACGAAAAGGATTTGTCTAAATGTGAAACTCTAAAAGAGTGCGAAAAATCACAAATAAACGGACCACTTAATCATAGAAGATACTACCTTATGAACTCTCACTAAGATCACAAACACAAAATCTAAATAACTACCCAGATTGAATAACCAAATCAACTATGATTAGACCAAACAATATAATCGAACAATCAGCCTTATAATTGACGACACATGTAAAGAGCAAATCACTCACTTAACTACAAACAACCAAACAAATATACCACTATATTGGAAAGGATACGTTCGTAACCAAGGCAACAAGCATACAAAACACATAATTCATCATGTTATTTCTAAGCAAACTCATCTATAACAATAGATAAACCAACAAGGTATCCTACAACCTAAGTCACAATCACAAATAACTAAGCAATCAAACATGCTCAACCACACGGCTATCATCACAAAAGATAATAAGAAAATTAGTTTTAAAACAATTAAATTATGCAATATACTCAACATGATAAAACGGTTTAACTCAAAGAACCAAGTCCCGTTAGGTCCTAAGAACGAAAGAATTGAGTAACCATCCTACTCCTTCAAAACAACAAAATCCGCTCATTGTTTAAGAAAAACCACAAAGGGTTCAAATAGATTCATTCGATTCAAAGTTTTTAAACTCTTACACACACATATATAATTGAAGAGATTTGGCCACCTATTTGTAGGCAAGCTTCTCT